ATGGATGATGGATGGATGTGTTATAAGTACACATTATATTATTGGCTTTTCACAAATATTAAAATGAATGCTATATGCATAATGTTGGAAAATTTTGCTGAATTAATATAATTTTAGTTCTGCTATTAACAAAACTTAAAAATAGTAGTGTGATAAATATATATTTTTCTTGGACTATAACATGGTGATGTAAAAAGCTTTTGTTCATGTAACTAACTCAGAGAATAGTAAAAAAGATAATCAGGAAATTCTTCACATTCTTGGATTATCTGGATGAAGATGGCAGTGACAGACACCAGAACTCCAGGGAAGGAATTTACTGATCTCTGTTATCAGGGAGTGCATGACAAGATGGAGGCACAAGGAGAAATAAACAAATGTTGATTTACAGGTTGGGGGAGGATGATTTTGAATTAAGTGTGAGGATCTGTGGGTATGTAACATGTTGATACATATGACGAAGTGTTTTCTGAGTTTGTGTGTGTTCTTGGCTGAATGCTAAGCACCCAGCCATATAACCTTTGGTTTAATGTTTCTCTCTTATTGTCTTTTATAAAACCTTTTAAAATTTACCGGGAAAGTGAACCTTGTTTTTCACAGATGGATGGATGGATGGACGGATGGACAGGTGGTGCAATGGCTACGGCTGTATATGCAGGCAAGGACAGATGATTAGGTGGACTAAGCTGAATATGTAGGTGGAAACATCCCCAGCATTTGTTCCTCCTCCAGAAGAGCCACCAGTGTGTAGAGATCTTGCCTACAGGCTGTTGTCACCCTCTGTTCTTCACAGGTCACAGGTAAAGGGAGCTGACAACACAGGCAACTCTGTGAAGCAAAGGCTGCTCCAGCTGCCTGCAGGTGGAAGTTGTGTCTCCAGTGTGTGTTTCATCACATCTCAGAAGAGACATTTCAAGCCCAGTGGCAGAATTACATCCTTGAAAGAATTGATTTTCCCATGACCCCAAGGAGAGAGGCAAGCAGGCGTCAGAGAGAAGGGAGCTTCAGGGTCAATGACAACAGCTCCTGCCTAATTCCCAACTGCACAATTCTTTGTTTTCTACTAGCCATATTAAAAACACTTCACAGAAGAACAGAACCATAGAATCTCGAATTGTTTTGGGTGGAAAGGAGCCCTAAAGCTCACCTTGTTCCACTCCCACTGTCCCAGGCTGCTCCAAGCCCTGTCCAACCCAGCCTTGGACACTTTCAGGGACCCAGGGGCAGCCACTGCTGCTCTGGGCGCTCACTCCTTTACTTTTAACAAACTCATTAATTGCCTTGAGCCCCTCCTCGGCTTGCTGTGTCCCGCTGCTCAGTCCCTGGGCCCGGTCCTTCCCCCGAGCGTCCCCTCAGACCGGGCCGTTCCCCGTGTCCGCGGCCCCGCTCTGCTCCATTCCTCGAGTGTCCCCTCACCCCCTGGCCATTCCCCATGTCTCCAGCCCCGCTCTGCTCCGTTCCCCGAGTGTCCCCTCGGCCCCGGCCCGGTTCCCCGTCCATTACCGAGCCCCGCTCCGTCTCTGGGGCGCACTGGCCCTTTAAGGTCCTCCCCCCGCTGGGGGGCGCCGTGCGCGGAGGGGAGCGCATGCGCGGCGGGTGCTGCTCTGCGCATGCGCGGTGCTGCAATGCGGGTGGTGGTGGGTGAGTGCGGAGCGTGAGGAGCGGCCGCGGCTGTGAGGGAGCGATCGGGGCTGTGAGAGTGCGGAGCCGTGAGGGAGCGATCAGGGCTGTGAGTGTGCGGGGCTGTGAGGGAGCGATCAGGGCCGTGAGGGAGCGATCAGGGCTGTGAGAGTGCGGGGCCGTGAGGGAGCGGGACCGGCAAGCGAAACAGAATTTTGGAGAAGGGGCAGGCGGTGCTGGGTTGCGGGTGCTGCCCGCTGGGTTGGAGCCAGGCCGCCTGTTTCCCCCGGGTGTGCGGGGCAGGGCCGGCAGCGCTGCTGGGGCTGCGGGGATGTCTCTGCCGCCGGGGGTGATGGCCCAGGGACACACCCGTGACCTCCTGTCTGTCTGTGTGTCTCTCTCACCAGGCGGTGGGACAGGCTTCGTGGGCACAGCCCTGACCCAGCTGCTGCGGAGCCGAGGGCACCAAGTGACCCATGTGTCGCGACGAGGGGGCAAGGATCGGATCAGCTGGGTATGAGATGAGAGCGGTCACAGGAGGGGGAACGTGAGAGGGCTGAGAAGCCAACCTGTAATCCCTGGCTTTGCATGGCATAGAATGACCCTGCCATGGGAGGTCTGGTTCCTGTGGATGTTCTTTGGGGCTGCTGGGTGCTCCATGGGTCACAATCACCTCCAAGGAGCAAAACCTTCTCTATTCGTGCTTGTACTCCGCAAATGACGGGAAGAAACTGGCTGAAGTTCTCGGGAGCCTGCCCTGCTTATTTGCAGGGAAGGTTTGAGCAGAGGGGGTGCACAATGTGTGATGTGATGTCTCTGTTACTCCTGCCTAGGAAGAGCTGTCCCGCTCTGGGCTGCCCCAGTGTGATGCTGTGGTCAACTTGGCTGGCGAAAATGTCCTCAACCCTTTCCGCAGGTAACTTGGTGTTCTCTAGTCCTGTTGGGACAAGGTAAAGGCAAGGCAGTGCTGTGCTGTCAAAGAATGTGGAAAGGGAGGAAACAACATGACAAGGAAGCTCTTGAATTTACCAGCTGTTGACATTTGCATCCTCAAGTATCTAGAACATTTCTGTGGGCCTGGTAGGTTCTGAGACACCTTTGGAAGAAAGTTTCCCTCCTGGGTCTACAGCTGGAGGACAGAAAAATTAGTTCCACATTTCCAAAGGGACATTGGGTGTCGTGCCTACATTTGATAATGCAAAATCAGAACCAAAGTCTGACTTCTAGGAGGAACACCAGCTTTGGTGTCTTGCTCCTTTGCTGTCTTTATCCAAAGGCAGTCCAAACCCCACAGTCTTTTAAGGGAAGTAAAGCCCCCATCTTCCAAAGTTCCCTTGCATGTGTGCTCTAAGATGCCATGTCCTCCTGTAATGTTGGGGTGTTTTGCAGCACTTAATTAGCGGTTTGTCTGGAGTCTCTTGTGTCTTCACTCAGAACCAGGATTAAAAAATACACCACGAAGGAAACAGATTTTCTTGTGTTCAGGCTTGGTTGTTTATTAAATCTTATCTAAAGTACAGAGAGTTCTGTAACACTTCAGCCACCAGCTAGAAGAGAGCAAATTGGAGCTGGATCCAGCTGGTTACAAGGTCTCTTAAAGATAAACAATCCAATAGAGAAATAACACCTATATTATTTATACTTTTAACTCAGTAATCAAATTCCCATGACCTTTAGTGCAGCACTAACCGGCCAGAAACTGCTGCCTGAAATCATGAGGAAGAATGAAGATGATCACCAGAAAAGGCACCACCCAAATTCTTCCATCTTGTCCCATACCTATTACTATATTATAAAAACCTCAAATTTAAAACCCTTCACCATGTGAAATCACACACTTCTATTTAACTACACACCCATGACTCTAACTCCATCACTCAAATTTGGAACCTTCTCCAAAGCCTCAGGTTAAAAGCAGTGTTGTCCAGGGGGTCAGTGCCAGAAAGCTCAAAAATCCCAGGTCTGTGGGATCCAGCATCCTTCCATTGCCCTGGGGTGAGAGGAGTTCCTGTGACCTCTCCTGTGCTTGTGAGCTGCTGCTGGCTGGGGTCCCCCTTGGTGGCAGTGTTGCTGGGGTGTCCTTGTGAGGTGTTTAATCCCTGTTCTCCCTTTCCCAGATGGAGTGATGCCTTCTGCAGGGAGGTCATCAGCAGCCGGGTGGAGACCACGAAGGCCTTGGCCAAAGCCATTGCTGCTGCTGAGCAGCCCCCCCGTGCCTGGCTCCTCGTCACTGGCGTAGGTATTGGTTGGGCCTGGCCAGGACAGCACTGCTGAGCTGGAGAGGCTTTTCCTGCACACAGAAACACAGTTCCTCAGGAGCACATGCCTTGCCTTGAAATGTCAGCTTTATTGCCATCAATGTCACTGTGTTTAGGCAAGCCTTGATTAGCTTTTGAGTACTGCTAGAGAGGAATTTGGGTCTCTACGCTTTGTCTTGGTGTCATTAGGGCAGACATTTTTCTGTGTTTTCCTGTGAGACCCTTTAGGCATCCCATAGAATCAGTTTGTGTAAGTAAGGCCTCAGCTGAAGCCCCCTGCATTATCTCCATCTTTCTGCTTGCTGCAGTCTTTAAAGCTGCCATGGTTTATCCTCTGTGATGCCCAGTATTAAATCAGGCACCTCCCAGCCAGCTCAGTGTGTTGCCTGCAGGACTGTTTGGGTTTTGGGGCTGCCTGAGTGTTAGTGCATCCTGAACCTGTAGAGCACATTGGTAGTTCAAAAACTTGTCAGCATTGCCATCAGAGACCCTGTGCTGCTCGTGTGAGGATGTCCCTGATGGAATGATGGAGCTCACAGAATCCTGGAGTGGTTTGGGTTGGAAGGAGCCTTAAAGCCCATCCAGTGCCACCCCTGCTGTGGTCAGGGATACCTTCCACTGTCCCAGGTTGCTCCAAGCCCCAGTGTCTAGAATGGCCTTGGACACTTCCAGGGATCCAGGGGCAGCCACAACTGCTTTGGGCATCCTGTGCCAGGGCCTCACCGCCCTCCCAGGGTTGATTCTCTTCCTAATAGCCAATCTAAACTTTCAATTTGAAGCAATTCCCCCTTGTCCTGGCACTCCAGGCCCTTTTAGTTTCTCTCCAGCTTTCTCGTAGGCTCCCTTCAGGCACTGGAAGCCTTTCCAGGCTGAACAATCCCAGTTCTGTCAGCCTTTCCTCACAGGAGTTCTGGGCTCCTGGAGGCAGAGAAGATGGTCTGATGAGGAAGGGGGGGCTTGGTGTCATCATTTAACCCTGACCCCTTTCTGCTGTAACCCTGCAGGTTATTACCGCCCCAGCCCCACAGCTGAGTACACTGAGGACAGTCCAGGAGGGGACTTTGACTTCTTCTCACGCCTGGTGAGCTCGTGGGAGGCTGCAGCTCTCATCCCTGGGAGCCCAGCTCGTGGTGTTGTGGTGAGATCAGGTGAGATGGGGCATCATATTTGTTAGTGGTCACTCTGCTTTACTGCTGGGCAACAGTGGGAAGAGGTGGGTAAAGGGATCAGTTCTTCTGTCTCTCCTTGCTGGGGTCCTGCTGCAGTCCAGCCCTCTAAGGATTCTCCTGCTTGTAGGTCTGGGTGTGTAGGGGACTTTGTCCCTTTGGGCAGGGGCACCTGGTGTCACTCTGTTCTCCCCACAGGTGTAGTGCTGGGTCGGGATGGTGGTGCGATCTCTCAGATGCTCCTGCCTTTCCGTCTGGGACTCGGAGGCCCCATTGGCTCCGGACTCCAGCCCTTCCCGTGGATCCACGTTCAGGACCTGTCTGGGATTGTGTGTCATGCTCTGGAGAAAGAGTCTGTGCAAGGCATCCTCAACGGTGTTGCCCCATCCTCCCCCGGCACGTCCAATGGCAGCTTTGCCCGGGAGCTGGGGGCAGCCCTGGGCCGGCCAGCGCTGCTGCCGGTGCCTGCCTGGGCCGTGCGGGCTGTCTTTGGGGCAGAGCGGGCAGTCATGCTGCTGCAGGGACAGAGGGTGCTGCCAAAACGCACCCTGGAGACTGGCTACCACTTCATCTTCCCTGAGCTGCCTGGAGCTCTCAAGGACATTGTGGCTTAAGGCTTCTCTGGTTGGGCTGGGCTGGGCCCTGTTTGTGTGAGCACACATGGTTTCTCATCAAAGAGGGGAACCCTGCCCCTTGGCACTTCCTCATCCCCAAACAGAAAGGGTGAGCAATCCTTTCCCCCTGTATTTCCCTGTGTGCATCCCTAGTTTAGGAATCATCCCTCTTACTGCCATCTGAATCTCAACATTACCTGCATTGGGGAAGGGCACGAGCCCCTCCAAGGACTGTGTCTGTGGAATTGACCATCTTCCCTTTTGCATAGTGTGTGTGTGAACAGCTGGCAAAGCAGCTGGGGGTGTAATGTCTTCTCCCCTGAGATGTGGCAGCAGGAAACAGGTCCTAATGCTGCTGTGATTCTGTGCTACTGGAAGATGCCCTTCCTGTTTTTCCCTATGATGACACAGGCAAAGTAGAAGAGCATAATTCTCTTGGTCTTGGTGGTTGTGGGAGAAGATCCATCTTAGGGTGCTGAATACAGATTGCTTGGAGACTCTGCCCTCCCTTTTCCTGTGGCTGGTACCAAGCTGATTTGTCAGTACCTTCAGCTGAGTCTAGTCCAAAGAGTTACACCTCCCAGGGTTCCATATTGATTGTGCTGTGGCAGGGATGAAGGAGAACATTGCTTTGCCAATCTATAGGGCAAAGAGTGACAGTCAGACTGGTCCCTGTACTGCTTGCCTTGCCTAAGTGCCCATTACAGCTAAGCTTGTGCTCAGGAAAGCTGGGTGGTACATCATTGTGTGAGGCAGTGCAAGCCACAGCTTCAGTCTCCAGGAGCATTTCAGCTATTGCCAGCTACTACCAGGGTAGTTTTCTTTTACTGATCCTATGGGGTGGTGCTTGTTCAGGTTGTTCCCCCCTGACTGGGCACTGGGAATATCCAAACTGCCTGGTGTGCCTTGGGAAGCAGTGCCTCTTATTTGTAAAGCAGATTGCAATTTCATTATCTCACAGTGGCAGGAAATGTATCCACATGCTTCCCTTGGCCCACTTCCATATCCTAAAGTGAGCTGCAGGGTGTGAAGTCCACAGGGCAGTGAAGTTTATTATAGCAATACTTCTGGAGAGATACTCCTAGTGTGATGTAGGTTGGGGCTAGAAAATGCTATTAAAAGGCAGTTCAGGCAGAAAAAGACCTACTCTAGCATCCAGAACAATAGCAGTCTGTGTATTCCTGGTTTATGCCATGCTGCAGTCAGAGTAGCTGAAGGGTCACTCTGCTGACTCTTTGCTGAGTACATACTGGAGACAGAATGGTAATCTGGCTTTGCAGGCAGGAAAATGAGAAGAATTATGGCTGGAGAAGAACTGCCACCTTCAGCTCTTCTGAAAGAGGTGTTTGTATCCCACAGAGGACTGCCACTAAGCAGAGTTCCCAGGCCTTGGACTCACTGCCTGGATGTTTAACTCAGGACGTTTGAAAAGTTGCCTCTGCATGGTGTTTGGCTTAAATACATCACAGGTTTAAATGTGCTTCTGTCATCTGAATCTCTCTGGGATCTGGAAGCAGTGAGTGCAGTTAAGACTTCCCATCATGATAAATTCACACATGCCCCATGCCCCCTTCTCTGCAGTAGAGCCAAGGTGCATGTTTGGGTGACAACAGGCTGGAATCCTGGTTGGATGTGTCTGGTTTTGGTGACCTTAAGGAGGCCCTGGTCCCCAGGTACAAGGCATTGTGATGCTGAGTACAGGTGTTGTGTTAGCCCAGTGCTGGCATTGCAGTGCTCAGGGCTAGCAGAGCTCCTGCAGCTATTTCTGAGCCAATGCTGTGCCCCTCTGCCTTGGGCAGATCTCTGTTCCTTTAGAGCTGAATTCTGTTCAGCTATGTGAACAGAACCATGAGCCATGAGAACCAGAGCCATGTGGCCCAGGACCCTCCTGTGTGGCCACTGACAGCCCAGCCTGGGGCCTGGTACCCAGGGTTTCTGTCTAAGCTGAGGACACTGCTGTTCCTTTCCTGTTTGCAGGGTGAGCCAGCCCTGGTGCTGAGCTGCTGTCACACAGACATATGGACAATGACACACAGATGACACTGACATTGCTGTCAGCCTCAGCCAAGCTGCTGCTGTTTGAATCCCAAAACAGGACACAGGTGACAGGCACCATGCATGATGGGGCTGGCAGCCTCACGTGACACCCTCAGGGTTCACAGAAGTGAACACTCAATCCTTTGAGCACTGGTATGATCTCTCTGTCCACCCCACACTCCAGCATGGACCACAGCCTCCTAACCCACAGGTCCCCTCCTTGCCAGCTGCTCCAGCTTGACACAGCAAAGACTCAGCATCACTCAGACACTCATCCCAAAGGGACACCACCCTTGCAGCTGTCTCCAGGTACCAACATGGATCCCTTGCCCTCCTGATAACCCTGCCCATGCCTGGAGTCCCGTGCTTGCCCACTGCTCTGAATTACTGCTGCTGGACACACCCGTGCACACCTGTTTTGTGGGGTGTACACAGAGTTGTCTCCCCCAGCTCAGCGCTCATGCTGTGAGTGGCTGTCCCACTCCAGCTGTGGCCATGGAGTCCCTCACTGCCCTTGCTCATGCTGCTCTTGTGGACCTGAACTATTCCAGCCTCAGTGGCTGTAGAGTGAGTTCCCACTGGCTCCAGGAGCTGCTACCACAGGCTGGGTCTGCTCTCCCTCTTCCCCCATCTGACTTCAGGAGCTGACCTCAAATCCACACGTGCTGGCTGCCCAGTAGCTGGCACTTGGTCCCTGCAGCACACAGATGGGGCCCTGGGAGGCTGCACACAGAGTTGCAGAAATGTTAAATAAGCCAGGACTGTGGTGAAGTGTAGAGCTCAGCCAGACCAGCACTGACTGGCCCAGGTTTACACCCAGCCAGCCTCTTAGAACTCTTTTCTGTGTAACCCCTCTCAGCTGCTCCCTGTCCCTGCATAGTTCCTCAACAGCTGGCATCCCACTGTCTTCATCCAACATCCTGGACACTGAGCTTTGCATCCTTATCAGTTGCAAAGTCCTGGGCTGCCTACAGCTTCTTGAGAGCTCATCAGCTGGTGTGAGTGATGCCATTTGTTTCTGGTTATTTGTCCTGTTAATGCTAATTGCTCAGGTTTTATGACTGTGTCTCCCATTGCTTCCCTACTGTAAAAATAAATGTTCTCAGCCTCACACACACTTATCCCTTCGGGTGGCTGGTCAGGTTTGTTCTCATCACAACCTCCCCATCACTTTATGCCTTTTACAGCTCCTTTCACCAGATGCCCCAAACGAGCTGAAAAGCTCCTTTCACATTCCCCAGCACTGCCCTGCTGTGGGATTCTCAACAGAGGCTGCTCTCTTCCCTGCCCTGGGGCCTGAATGGGCCTCCTCATGGGCTGTACCCAGGGGGCAGTGACCCCTCTGGGCATTGAAGGGGTCGAGTGTGCCAACAAGGGCTGCAGTCACTGGTCCCCCATCAGAGGCAATAGGCAGGAGCACACTGAGGATCTGTAGCACCTCTGACACACCTTTGTGTCAGTTTGTACAGGCAAGTTCAGTGTCTGGCTGTGATAGCCACATCTCTGTGGGCACCAGGGCAGGTGACATCTGTGACCAGGCTGATCGTGGAGCTTTGGTCTCATTCTGGCAGGGCTGAGTGATCTGCACTGGTGCCTTGCTTTGGGGTTAGCTCTGGGCTGACTGCTGAGTTGCAACACTGTGTTAAAGACAGCAAGGCTTAATTCTGACTTTTCTGTACCAGTTATAGTTCTGCACCATTTCTATTGTTAATCTGCTTTACACATTCTTTCACAAATTGTAAGACACTGATTTCCCAATTAAAGTTGGTATTTCCCTTCCTTGTACCCCTTAATTTCCACTCAACCATGGTTCAGACTTGACTGGGACAATTTTCCAAGATTTTAGGGTGTGTGATGACTATTCTGTCTTTTCTCAAAGCTTAAAGATTTGTAAATCTGAAGCTGAAATCCTGGGCAAGCATCTCTGTGTCTGTATCTGGGATAGGTTCTTGGCTTTGCTGCTGGCTGAACCTGCAAAGGGGAAAGTGGCAGCCACATTCCCCAGCCTGGGCAGAGCCCCTGAGCCATCAGGTGTTCAGGCTGGGCTCACAAAAGCTTTCCAGGAGCGTCCTGGGCTGGGGCTGCTGGAGGTGTCTGCTGCTCTGACACCCCTCCACAGTGAGCTGTGCTGGTGAATCCCTGGTTCTGGGGTTGATGCACAGAGCCATGAGGGCTGTGAGGGGCAGTGCAGTGCTCTGTGACCCTTCTTTGTTCAGAAATGGCCAAGCCTCATTCCTGCAGTCTCTGCTGTTCACACTGATGCTTTTGAGCCCTTTTCATGCCTGGTGAGGTGTCCCTGGTGGGGTTTCGGGGTCCCTTTGGGATCCCCGAGGCTGCTTTCACAGCCCTCAGTGACGGAACAAATTCCCGAGTCTTGCCCAGATAGAATTGTGGCTCGTGGGGAACTCTCAGACCAGCGGGGAAAAGAGACCAGGATATGCAGAGAGGCACAAATCCATCGTTTATTCTATTCAGGCATCCTATCCAGCATATACCCATGGCTATTGTTTTACAGGGGTTTTTATAACTTTTGAGGGTTTTACAATTTGCACCAATTACCAAGGGAATTCTACTTTCTGACCAATCCCTGAGGGATTTTACATTCAAAGCTGGCCTATGGATACTAAAAGAAAATGAACCACTAATATTGAAGATAGATAAGAGGATCTTCCAAGGGGGGAAGCTAGATTCCTTTTGTATTTGTCATTTCACAATCCATTTCTTATCTCTAAGCTATGATTTTCCAAGGAGCTTGTTCTGAGGATGCAGAGGAACTCTCTTCTGTGTTTTCTGCTCCCTCCACAGTGAGGGCTCCCACATATCCTGCTCAGAACCCAAAAAGATGCTGGAATTCATACCAGTTGTTCTTGGGGTACTCACCTGACAGGGATGGAGAGCAGAATGAAGGCCCATGATCCAAGGGGACTTGGGCAGTGACCTGTACACAACTGAGGCACTCATTATCCTGTGGGGTGGATGGGATCCACACAGTGCTGCTAAGGGACTGTAACACTTGCAGTCATTTATCAGCAGTCCTGGCTAACTGGGAAGATCCCAGCTGACTGCAGGTCAGCAAATGTGACTCCCACCTGCAAGGAGGGCCAGAAGAAGGGTTTGGGGAACTACAGGCCTGACAGTATGACCTTGGTGCCAGGAAGGGAACAGATCATCTCGAGTGCCATCATATGGGGCCTGGTCAGGTCAACCTGATCAGGCCTGGCCAGCATGGGTTTAGCAAAGGCAGGTCCTGCTTAGCCAGGCTGGTCTCCTTCTGTGACAAGATGTCTCACTTGGTGGGTGAGGGAAACACTGTGGGGATCATCTACCTGCACTTCAGTAAAGCCTTTGACTCCCTTTTCCACAGTGGAGACACTGGCTGCTCATGGCTGGATGGGCATACTCTGCACTGGGTAAAAACCAGTCTGGGCAGCTGAGTGCTAAGTGTGGGGGAAAGGGAGTTAAATCCAGCTGGTGCCCATCACAGCTGGTGTTCCCCAGGGCTCAGTACTGGGACCAGTCCTTTTTAGCATCTTTCATCAATTATCTGGATGGGAAATATTTCCCTGAACCAACTGGGGGAGAGACTGCTTGAATCTGTTTCCTAGAGGGACCCCATTCAGAGGTTTTCTCCCAGATTTGCCCTAAACCAGGACAGGGGGTTGAGTGCACTCTTAGTAAATTGGCAGACAGCAGCTTGGATGGTAGTTTTGGGAGGGTGGGAAGGCTCTGCAGAGGGATCTGGACAGGCTGGGTCCATGGGACAAGGCCAGTGGTAGGAGGCTCAACAAGGCCAAGTGCTGGGTCCTGCACCTGGGTCACAACAAGCCCGGGGAAGAGAAGGCTTAGGGAAGAGGGCCTGGAAAGCTGGAAGGAGCCAGGTGTGCTGGTTGGCAGGGGCTCAAGAGGAGCCCACGTGTGCCCAGGTGGCCGTGCAGGCCAATGGCACCTGGCACCATGGACAGCTGGGACTCCAGCTGCAGCACATGAGAGCCCTGAGCCAGGGAATCCTGACTGCTCTGAGCAGGGGCAGGGCATGGCCCAGCAGTGTGGATCCTCCCCTAAACATCCCTGGTGCATCTTGGAGCCATCTGAGATGCTTTTCTCCTTTCATTCCATGGGCCCTTTGTCTCAGGATATGAACTGTGTCTCAGTGTGTAGGTGACCCAGGTGCTCCACTGGCTCACTGCACAGGTATCACCCCCAGCCCTGGGGCTGCTGCATCTGCTGGGAGAGCCCTTGGATCAGTGTCCAATTCTCTGGTTAGGTTACTGTGGTTTGTCTATCTGTGCCCCTTTGTGTACATGTAAACCAACTCTTTATTGTATAACCAGAAAAATTCAGTTTTTAAAGGAGCAGAGAAGGGTTTTGGAATAATCACTGCCCTGAAGGCTTTACTGATATGACAATCCTGTAGCAATGACTGAACTTTTATTTCAAAGCACAGATGAACACAAGCTCCAGGGCAGCAAGTCTGTGGTTGGGAGAGTTATAATTTGCATTTTTTTTTCATCTGACAAAGGGGAGAAGTGACTACACTACCATGAAAATTCCCATTTTAGTTCTGCTCCAATTATCACAAGGTTCCTGCATCTGCACGTGGTCCTGATCCACATGACATGAAGCACTACAAGAACTTTTTAATTAGCCCCACAGTGACAAAATCTAGTTTTGCTAATGATATTATTGTTATTGGTTTTGGAATGACCAGAAGTGCAAGGTGATTTGAGATTTTGCTTTCCCATCATTTCCCTTAACAGAGGCATCAGGAATCCTATAAGGGAAGGTTGTTGGAGTCTTCTGTTGGAGGTAGGTTTGCATCCCCTGCTCCTCTGAGTAGAGCTATGCTTTTTTATCCTGTAACTTGAGAATGACATCTCAGCCTGGGTAAAGCTGGATCACAGAAATAGGAATTTGCCAAAGGTATTTGCTCTTTCTGCCAAAAATACTGGAAGGACGAGAAATTCCACATGCTGCCAGTGACAGTGATTATACTGTGAAAGGGAAAATGACCTGAAAATGCTTGTTTATCATTTTTAATATATAATCTTGCTTAACAGAGTCAGCTTCAGAGACACTCCCCATGTGCTGGGAGAGGTCTGAGGGAAAGCAGGCACAAGTCATACCTGTCTCAGCATTTCTGTATTTCAGGTTTTTGCTGGAGATCAATCTTACTTTTATCTTAGGGAGATTACTGAGGCAAAAGAGAAAGGTTGGATTAGAGTGAAAGCAAATTGCTTTTTCTCTCCCCCAAACTTCTGTGAAAATACTATTTTTATGGGAAATGAGAACAAAGAATACACAGTATTAACTGTGGATTGCTAGATAACATGATTTCATACCAAAAGTGGCTTTCCTTTTTGGATCTGTGGAAAAAATCTGCAATTTTCAAGCAGAAAATAGGATTATGTATATATAAGGATTTAAAACGGAATTATTCACTGACACTAAGGAGCAAACCGTGATGGGAAAAAATTACAGTATCCCTGCAGAATATTCACCAGAGGCAATGGAAATGTGCAGAAAGTTCTAATTTCTACAGTTCTCTGAAATTCCATTTTGGGAATAGTTTTACAGTTTAAAGGGTAAGATAAAAAATGTTTATTCTGCATGTGGCTTTTTCTTGTAAGAAATTAAATTTTTTTTTCAGCAGCCACACAGAGGTCGTAACTTCCCCTCAGGGAAATGGCTCAGTCATCTTGGGCTGTGGGTGCAGGTGAGCAGCTGCCATCTTCTCTTAGAACTTGCCCACAGTATCTCCAAGTTCACTGGCTATTACAAGATTATTTTCCTAAAACTTAAGACACTGTCTCTGTGATTTTTAACTCATGCCATTTATCTGACTGAAAAGAAGTTTAAAAAGGAGTGTGATGCAGAGATCTTTGTAATGTAACGTAAGGGAAGACCAGAACTTGGAAAGAAATTGGGGTTGAGACTGAGAGCCATGGAGCCTAAGCAGGAGTAGCCTGGCCACAGTGATGCTGCCTTTAGGGTGAGCACATTCCCTCTGCAGACTTCTTGACTCTGATGGCAGCTGACACAGCCACCTCCCTTGTCCTGACTTATTTTTTAATGCACAGATCACCTGGCCTAATGAAGACTTACATGTCACAGCCACAACGGTGGGAGTGGAGGATTAGGGAAAGCAGGTCCTGTGTGGGTGACTCTTTTGTCTGTATTTAGACTGAGAGCTCCATGGATAAGCTTCAGCTCAGCCTAACTTGCAAGTCCTTGCTTTAGGTGAGGTGCATTCCAGGCAGAGGTGCTGATTGATTGCCCAGCTGAGAGGTGTGGTTGGTTCTAGAGGGAAGGGATGCCATAGAGAGAAACCTTGACAGGGCAGAAATGGGCTGGGGCAAACCTCAGAAAGTTCAACAAGGCCAAGTACAGGGTCCTGCACATGGGTGAAGGCAAACCCAAGGCTGGGCAATGCATGGATTGAGAACAGCCCTGCAGAGGAGGACTCGAGGGTGTTTGGTGGATGAAAAACTCCAGATGTCCTGTCAATGTCCACTCATGTGAAACCAATCATGGCCTGGGCTGCACCAAAAGCAGCAGGGCCAGTGAGTCAAGGGACATAATTCTACCACAAACTGCCCCTCCTGAGAGCCCACCTGCAGAACGTGTTCAGCTCTGGGGCACTGAGCTAAAGGAGCACATGGACCTGCACAAATGGACCATGGACCTCCTGATCAAAGGAGGGCCACAGGTATGGTCAGGAGGCTGGAGCAGCTCCCCTGTGAGAATAGGCTGAGAGAGCTGGGGTTATTTAATGAATGGAGAGAAAGCTCTGGGGAAACCTTTCAGCAGCCTTCCAGTACCAGAAAGTGGCCTACAAAAGAAATAGAGAGGGACTTTATATAAAGGTATGTGGTGATAGGAGTTGTTGAGGACAGCAAAATGGGGAAAGCAGTGAGCACACTGAATGGCAGGGCTGGTATTTGTAGGGATGGTTTGGAGAAATAGGTCAGCATGAACAGTATAAATTGTGACATCAGTAAATATGTCATCTGGGAAAGGACAAGGCTGTGCAGTCAGCAGAGGCTGGTGGCCTGTCCAGGATGCAGCTTTGTGGATAATGGCCCTGTCAGACAAACAGCTGAATAGGAGATGGGAATGTGTTCCTGTCAAAGAAGGTGACAGAGCTCCAGCTCTGCTAGCAAAGGTGTGGCCAGGTAGTGCAGGGAAATGATCCCACCCCTGTGTCAGTGCAGGACTGTGTCACAGCACTCCAGGATAAGAAAGGCAGTGATGCTGCTTACCCTCGACTGACTTCCTTGGGGGGCCTCTAAATTAATCACTGGGCTGGATCACATCACATTCAAGGAGAGGCTGAGACAACTGGGTTTGTTCACCCATACAGAAGAGAAGGCAAAGGGGAAACTTCATTTCTTTGTATAACTAGCTGATGAGATGAGGATACAGAGGAGATAGAGCCTCCCTGGCAGTGAACTACAATAAGATGAAGGCAACGGACACTAACTGGAACATCCTAAGGTCTCACTAAATGTAGGGGAATTTGTTTGTTTTGGTTTTTTTTCCCCTGTAAGACTGGTCATGTATTTGAACAGTCCACAGAGCTTGTGAGACTTCAGGACTTCCAGAAATCCATCTCAACATAAATTCTATGATTCTATGTTTTAATAATTCTGTAGTCCAACACACATTTATGGTCATCTATATTGCTTGTGTTTGTGCAGGGATAAAGAATGGAATCAAAGAACGTCACCACCACTGTGAGAGAATTTGTCCTGTTGGGCCTGACACAGAATGACAAGCTGCAGTATTTTCTCTATGTGATCTTCTTTCTCATCTATGTAACAACCTGGCTGCTGAACCTCACCATCATTGCCACTGTGGCCATGGATCAGCAGCTCCACACCCCCATGTACTTTCTCCTGGCCAACCTCGCTGTCCTGGACATCAGCGATTCCTCAGTCAACACTCCCAAACTGCTGTCAGGCCTCCTCAGCCAGCACACCGTGATCTCATTCAATGAGTGTTTCCTCCAGGTGTTCTTCTTCCATTTCATGGCAGGTGCGATGTCGTTTTTGCTCGTGGGGATGACGGTTGATCGGTACGTGGCCATCTGTGAGCCCCTGCGCTACCTGGCCATCATGAGCTGGAACACGTGCACAGCACTGGTGGCAGCTGCATGGTGTGGTGGATTTCTTCATTCTATTACACAAACTCTTTTCCTTCTGCAGCTGCCATTCTGTGGCCCAAATGTCCTGGACAATTTCTATTGTGACATCCCTCAAATCATCAAACTGGCCTGCACTGACACTCGCAGGGCTGAACTACAGATGGTGTTTAACAGTGGAGGGATCCTCATCACCCTTTTTGTGACCTTGATTGTTTCTTACATTGTCATCTTGCTTAAGATAAGGACACGCATCACAGAAGGGAAGCGAAAAGCTCTGTCTACCTGTGGAACACAGATAATTGTTGTGAGCTTAATATTCATCCCCTGCATCTTCACCTATGCCCAGCCTTCTAAGAAATACCCTGGGGACAAGGTGGCCTCCATTGTTTACACTGTGGTCACTCCAATGCTAAACCCCATGATCTACACACTGAGAAACACTGACATGAAAAAGGCCATCAGGAGAACACTGAGGAAAATATTTCTGTCTGCAGGAATTCAGAAACCAGACCAGACAGTAGATGCAAAGACATAAAATCTGGTGTTTCCATGACAGAACTGTGTTCATCACAGATATTCCTGCTCCTTCAGTAAGTGAGCAGCTTTCTAGATGTGAGATGGGGACAACATTCACCTCTCATCAGCTTAGGAAGGTCAGTCACACGGAGTGTGCAGTAGGGTGGAATGTCTAGGGCCTAATAAAAGTTGTCTGTAATAAATCCCCTGCAAAGACATGACCATGACACACCCTGGCTGCTGGCCATGCAAGAGTCCTACCCACACCCTGTTCCCTCCTGTGGAAATCACAGCTGAGCCTTCCACTCCAGCATGGCTCACTTCTCTTTTAGGTTTCATCTCTAAGTTAGCACTGATGCCTTTCTGAACCTGGAAATAAAACAACACCCTTTGGAGATAATGTTACAATGGAGGGGATGTAAAGGCTGTTTTTTATTGGAGGCCTCCAGTGGCAGACATGGAAAATGTCCACAAAACACCCACCATCCCCCCACAGGGTGAATACAGTTTTATAAGTTTAGCAGATTAGCATATTTGACAAAAATTGCCAGTTAGGAGCACAAGAGGTGATGCAATTCCCCCCAGTTAACCTTCTCTGAATCCTCCCCCATCAGATGGAAACTAAACTTTGTTTATAAAAATATATCTTGAGCTGGTCTCAGTCTTGATTCCTGGGGAGAACCAAGATAGAGTAGAGGCCTTGGAATGTGTTTTGTCTTTTTGCCTATCAGGGCAGGGAAAAGTACTGGGAAAACTAGCTATAATACAATAATAGGCTGCAGAGATGCTAATATATGTGTAATGAATACAGAGAATATATAAAAGAAAAAAGGCAAAAATCAATTTGGCAACAGCAGAATGGCATCTGCACATTACTGCACATTACATCTGCACATTACTGCATTAGTAATTTCACCAGCAATGGTGAGATAGAGAAAAAAGCATTCTGAAAATGCTTTAGTGGGAGAACATTCTCGGAGCTGCAAGGATTATTTAGGTTTAGAGCTGTTTGAGTTTAATTCCCTTAGAGAGACAAGAGAGAAATGAAATCCCTCTTGACAGTAGAAAAAAAAACTCCCACAAAACATATAAACAACTGAATGGAAGATAAACTGATAAGAGGAAGTAGAACTCAGAATAATAAAAGGAAAAAAGATAAAGAAATAAAAGCAAACAAGAGGAAAAACCTTCCTGTGCCACTTTTTGATGCTTTGTCAAAGGTCAAAATTTCATGTCTTTAAATAAAAACACTTCTCAACATTCTTTATTTTCTCCATTCTTCCTTCCTTCCATGGAGAGCTGAAGGGTTCATTGTGCTGGCTGTGTGTAGAAATTGAGTGATATTTAATTTCTCAGCTCATTTCTGTGAACCCTTACCCATCAGCCTGCCCAAATGGCAGCAGTGGCACCAGAGGCTGCACCCAGACTGAGCTGCTGCACTCACTCCCTGCTCATGGAGGGTGAACATCCTGTGCCAGACACTGGGCAAGGCTTTGGCTCTGCCTCCTTTACATAAAGTTTCCTTTGTCTCTTCAGTGTTTGTTTCTGGCTCCAAGGGTGGTAATTACAGAATTGTGGCATCAGCTGTGGTTCTGGAGTGGTAACCCAGGTGCCAAGGGGTCTTAGTTAAAGCTCTAAGGTGCATGAATTTATTTGTAATTATTTACTGTATTTATTATTTCTTGTAATTGGTATTGTTCCTGAACCCTGTGACCTCTAGAAGCCATCATCTAGAATTCTCCAGATCACTTATAATATTAATTCAATAAATCAAACAATCCTTCCTTCCTTCCTTCCTTCCTTCCTTCCTTCCTTCCTTCCTTCCTTCCTTCCTTCCTTCCTTCCTTCCTTCCTT